CCCGAAATACCAGTGTATAGACTGCTGGAGATACGTCGCGTATCCAGATTTACGCAAGAGGCCTCCGTAAAGCTGTTTGTAAAATTTACATCGGGCGTACAAAGAAAGTGTCGGGCATTTGTCGGGCGAGCTAATTGAATTAAGCCCGCCATGGCGCGCAGGTGTTCAATTATTTCCTTTACCGCTTTACGAGCTCCGCCTTTGCCGTGATACTCCCCGCGAGATTTTTCTTGGCGCTAGAACGGCATGTAACCTGCGTGCGGCATGCTCGCTCTCGGCAGGTGATCCGGTGGATACCCACGAGAAGACGATAGAACGGCTATTCGACCGATGTGCGAGATAACCGGCTGAATTATTTTTCGGCCAAACATGAAAACTGGCTGCCGCGATTCACCTGTGGCGCTGTTCGTCATACATGAGCTGGTCTTCTTGATACTCATTACTCCCTGATCTCCTAAATTGGCCCCTGAGCTTCTCTCTCTTATCATGATTTAATGTGTTAATCAATTAACGTTACTTGTTCATAATTTAACGTAAATTTGACGTACTTGTATAGGATATTTTCTGTCTTTGTTTATGATATATTATTGTCTCATAATATATTAAAATACTTCTTAACGAATGTAAGATATCTATAAAGGATATCTAAATATTGATCGTTCGCTTATCACATTGAATTGTGAATTATCGTTGATTTTTAAATTTATCTCGGCGAGACCCCAGTTGATTGAATGAACAACAAATTATTTTCATTGGATTAACTCTGCGACATTAAATGAGAGAATCCACAAGTTCTATAAAATTATTTCTTAGTTCCAGAATTTGGATGTATAATTGAATAGAATTCTGATTTTTTTTTTCCCGTAGAATTTTAGAGTTTCCGATGTGTTTTAAAAAATTCTGACAATTAAGTAACGAAAGGCTGCCAATTTCACAGAGTCCAGATGGTCATCTAAGGTAGAGGATCGTGTTAAACACACTCGATCGAGCAATCCCAATACGATCCCGGTGTATTCCTTCATGTATACTCTGTCCTCAAATTTTTCTTAAAATTCGCAGATGATCGGCTTCCCGGTCGGCAAACTTTTTCTACGCGAACGGTTTAGCATGTTTTTTTTTCTCTGCAATTAGTTGAGCCCAACGGTAAGCCCTAATGCGACGTGACGCTGAAAATCCTTTCTCGATTTACCTCGGCCATTGCGACGTATCAAATCGCGAAATCTCCCCAACCGTGAGTTATATATTTTTATAGTCCCCAAGTGCTTCGATGCCACGGCCGCGTATATTCACGCTCACGCGTGTCTATTTGTCGCATTCGCGTTCTCCGTTTTTTTTTTATGCGCGCACTTTTGTTACGGGATGCCGCCCACTCCACACGAGCGGATGCCTCTTTTTTACGAGATCGTCAACGTTGAAAGTGTCCGACAGTTTTGGCCTCGTCGCGCAATAACGCGGCGTGATACTCGACTTTTCGTGTTCCAGTTTTTATTCAAACGTAAATATCCGTGATGCTCGGTCGTTAGAAGCTGGCTAAAAGCTTAATGCCTTGGTTTAATTTAATCTAGAAATTGAGAAGGATAAAGGAAAAAAAGTGTGTTTATTAAATTAAATCCTGTGTACTTTTCGATTTAATTGATACTTTTTTCCTCTATTTTATACTTTATTGTGAATTATGTAGAGACTTAATTATTTCATTAGATGTCTCATGAAATAAGGCATAAAATGTTACACAAGCGTGTCTGAGTGAATCTTGTCATCAACAGTATAATTTAACGCGACTGATTATAATAATTAATGAAATATGTTTATCGATACTCAATTTTCGCCTCTGTATGTCTTCTGTAACGCGATCGGTACTTTGTGGATTTTCAGAGGGACAAAACATAACCGACACGTCGTGGTTGCGTGTCGTCCATCGAAAATTGCTTGCTGTATAGTGGTTTTCGAGGTCGTGTCGCGCGAATCGTGAGGTGTAATATCGAATTAATGCCGCCTGAAAACCGTATGGATATTATCGTATCAGACATCACGTTGCGCATTGCGTAACAAATTCCGTATCAGCGGAACGTGCTGCTGTTCTCTTTCTCGTCTCTTATCGAACCGCCTCTTGCTCTTCCGCGTGAATATCGCATTAATCTAACGTTTCCGACTATCCTCTTGACCGAACGTGTGTGGAAAATCAAACATGCAAGAAAGAGAGAAGAGGAGATCACTTCTTGATAAAAATTTTCAACAAGAAACTTATGTATCTTTCTGGACACGTTAATATTATGTTGTATTACATGTTTATGTTGTATCAAATAATATTATTTGTCAAAGTAATTGAGGTCGAACGTGTGAGGAAAATTAAACATACAAAAAAAAAAATTATTTCTTGATACAAATTTTTAGCAGGAAGCTTATACGTACATGTCTTTCTAAATTTAATCCTTACCGTACTAATATGGGTAACTAGTGACCGAGCAATTCCTGTTCGTGCAAGTTTCTTTGAGTCTTTCGATAATTATAAATTATACTACATTTTATTATTTTCCAAAATAAAGAGTCAATATTTATTCTAGAAAGTTGAAAGTATGTTGGTGAATTTTTTAGAATTATTTTAAAATTATTTTGAAGAGGTGAAAAAACGTAGAGATTTGAAGTGACTCTTAAATGGTATGGATGAGCCACCAAATTGTAGATGGTACGGTAAGAGTTAATATTATGTTGTATTATATTTTTTATTTTTATATTGTACGAAATAGCGTTTATTGTTCCAAATTGATTACTTGAAGTATGAGTGTAAATTGGTGACGAGTGATATCGTGATACGTGTATGTATCCGACATACAGCAATCCGCCACTGGCGGCAGGTCGCACGCAATCTCGCGATCGTTCCTCGGCGTCTACGTATGTACGGTCCAGACCGAGGGCGACACCCGCAACCAGCATTCCAGGCTAATTCTTCATCGAACAATTACCGAACGGATGACGGCGGCAGAGGCAGCGCGGAAGACGAACTAGTCGTGACATGGAGGCCCGGTGCTCAGCACTACGTCATAACGGTCGAGCGGGCTTGCGCCGGCTCTGAGGATGACACGATGGACCATGGTTTAGCTTGTCCTTTGATGCATGATATTGCGGAGTCGGTGCCGCACGCTTCGGCAAACATGTCACGAGCAAGCCGAAACTGTTAGGATTCATAGTTATCTCGGGCGATCGTGTGCCGTCCGAGGACACTCGCCCTATCGTCCACGCGAGACTACATTCTCTATAATGTAATACCTATACACCTGTAATGCGTGTATGTTTCCGTATGTGAATCTCGCGATATCGCTATCCTGCGAATTTCGGACTGTATATAATGTCGTTCCTAGGATTACGATTCCCAACCGTAGGGGAATCTGCAGGATATGAGGAAAGAAGGAAGGGGTTCGTGTAATGAAATAATATTTTTGTCTCCTTAATTCAATCTGATTATATAATCTTCTGTTATACATATATCACAAATTCTTTTCTAACGTTAAGATTCGATGAAAGGGTTGTATAAGACGTTAAGTTCCATGAGTATTTTTTGTATAGTTTTGTATAATCATCCGTCTGTAATCTAGGTTTTTTTTTGTTCGGTCCAAGTTCTTTCACTATTGTTACGTTTTAAAAAATGAAAAATTCTGTGTTACTTTTCAACATTTCTATTACGTTACCAAATTGGTTTTTTTATTATTTTAGGACACTGAATGTATGTACTTAAGTCAAACATATTATATTACGAAATAAAGACGACCTAAATTAACTTGGTTAAATGAACAATTTTTTCTCAATGGAGGGGGAATCGAATTTTATTTCGGAGAAATTTGATAGTAAAATTGAGGGGATGGGCAGAATAAAGACACAATTTTACTTAGGCCTTTTTCCAGGGATTAGCTTTTTTATACAATATTGAACGTAATAGTGACATTGTAACACGTAACTTTTTAAAGACATAGATTCTTTTGATACTGTATCCATTTGTGTATAATAAAAAAAAAAGTAGCAAGTTATTTTAATTTTTATTAAAATCAAGATTTTGTAATTAGGCCTTTATTCCTCCCATCCCCTCGATTATACTTGTGTCAAGAAAGACTCAGATTGCGAAGATTAATATGATAATGAAGAACAATAGGATAGAGAAATTACGGACAGTATTAAGAGAGTACTTGCTAGTGCGTATCTCGTCGAATAAAAATTAATCTCGATGCGGCAACGCGTCGCTCTACAATTCCTTCCGGGCGTTTTTCGAAACGTAAATCCAGCCGATTCTCATAAATTCTCCGCAAGACACGGTGCGCCTCGCGCATAGGTTCGCACTCCTACGTTATACGTGTTACGGGGTGGGCATTAATAACGGATGAAGCCCCGGACTGCGGCAACCTCGTAATGTTTATCTCGTTGTTTATTCCGCGTGCGTATCAGCCGCAACGTGGAAAACGCGCGTATACATGTCTCCCGCGCGCGGATTCTTAGCGCGATCGCGATTTTGATTTATAAAGACGCATCGCGAATTTATGCCCGGCATTAATTTTGCATCGACTATGCTCTCGAGAGGGAACTTTCTTTTCGCTCCCCCTTTCACCCAACGACTCACGCGCCAAGAATATTGCGGGCTATGGGGATGCGGATATTCCTTTTTTTTTTTTCTAATCCCCTACCCGATACTGCGGATATTTTGTCAGGTATCCTCTTCTCTTGTCTTCCTTTTAGTATCGCTGTTCTTTTATTTGCCCACGGATTACGCGGGAGCAGGATGTGGAAGAAATTTATGTAAGGGCTTCGTACATATGTATGTCATTATGATACACATTTCGTACATAATTTAAACTATTTCAATTAGTATGTACGTACAATTAATACAACTTTATATTGTGCACAATGATACGTAAACTTAAATAAATTTTTTTAATAAATCCACTTCAGTCTTTTGACAAAGAGGAGGAAAATTGTTGGAGAAATTGATTTTCACAGATTTGTTTTATCTGTTACAGAAAAGCCCTTTCAGACGTCGTATGGTCCCACGATAGACAACGGAATGGTGAGTGATCTTTTGATATTGACCTTCACGCCGACAATACGAATCGCAGCGATTTCTTTGCACGCGTATCGCCCTTTGTTCCTTCCTGCCCCATTCGAGTCGAGCGACGGCGCGAGAGAAGTTGGAATATTCAAGATCTCTCCCTTTGTTGCAACGACTTGAACCTCTAAACGAGGCGGGATTATGTAAGAAATAGGACCGTAATAATTATTGCAGTCGTAGAAGCGAATTTATCTGAGAAAAAGTTACTCGCTTCGCACCGTCCCGAGACTCCGCACTTTCCCTCCGACATCCCCCAACGTAATCCCAAAACTTTACCTCGGATGATATTTTCGGAAAGCGGTTCTCATTTCTTGTCACGAAAGATATTCTTCCTGGTAAGCGTATTATTTATCGGCACGAGCGTAATACAGCACGAAAATCAACATGTGTATTTGACTGCCTCGTTAATCTTAATGACGTAAATTTATCTTTGTGACTTTGCTGTTGTAAATTAATTCTCATTCATTTATCATACTGATATCAATCATCTTAATTAATTAACAATTAACGTTAATAGTATATTATATGTGCAATGGCAGCAATATAATGATCGAATCGAAACGTAAATATCTTCTGGTTCCAGTCGAGACTGAGCGCCGTCAAACCTCCGACTTTAATATCACTTACGCTCTCTCTCTCTCTTATTCGTGGCAATTTATTCGGTGCATCAAGTTACTTGTACGTATTCCGCAAGGAAACTGGAATATTTCTTTTTCATATCGTTGAAATTAAAAAGATTGTTGCTGCACTTATTTTTGAGTTATTTCCACGTTTTTCGAAATTTTTAATTGTACGAAACAAATATTTCTTGTCACTTATCGACGATTCTTGTTAGATAATCGCGTTATACATATGCGGAACGTGAGACCTTGTACGTATCTATTCAACGTGAGATAATGATCCTACTATATTTGAGTTTCATACGCCTTCCGTTCATCGCAATTCTATCGAGGATATAATTCAACCATTGTTTCTGCAAACGCTAGATGACAGCAGAAACGAAGCGAATACGATATACTTGAACTTTTCGAAAGCGTTAGAGAGAGAAAGAGCGGTATCTAATCGACAGTCGTTAAACCATAGCTGATAAGGAATATTGATTTCGATGGATGATTTATTAAAGCCGCCCCCGAGTTATCGCTGTCGCATTTCCTCCATTTCGCATACTCCCCCATCCTCATCCTTCCTCTCTTCTTTCATGACTTGTGACAGTTATCCGTAATCAATGCAAAATGCAGGTATTCTCTTAATTAAAGTTATTATTTACGGAAACTTTATTAATTTTATAAAATAAATAAAAACGCGGCGCTTTTATAAATGAAAAGTGTATAATTATGCAATATTTTTGATAAATTAAAAGATATAATTATTTAATAATTTTAATGAAAAAATACTTTTTGTGTAGCTGGAATATTTTTGATACGAACGGTGTCCCGTATTGTTATTATTATATCGATAATTCGCCGCTGCAATATTGCGATTATAATTGTCGCGACCAGAAGTGAAAATGAAAAAATTGAGAAAAAAAAGGATGTATTTCGGTTTCTGTTTCAGGCGTATAGCAGTGGTGCATTCGGTCCTACGGCGGGTGGACCGGGCGGGGGGCCGGGCGGGGGTACAGCACTCCCACCCCCGTCGTGAATCCGACTACCCCCGTTGGTACCAACGGCACACGGTTACCTAATCCCACCGGCGGTAAGTTCTTTGTTATTACATTATCTTTATCAAGGATCAAGATAATGAAATAAAAGCGAATGTGGAACTTGAGAGTGAGAGAAAGATAGCGAAAATGGATTTAATTTCCATCAATTTTATATAATATATTTTTACGTTACATTTTATTATCGCCATTATCGAAAAAAATTTTTTGCCGGGTGTTTCGCATTCTGCATTGTTTTTTTAAAAATAGTTTTGTAATATGATTTCAGGTGCCGCAACCGTGAAAAGGAAGAAGGATGTAAGTATCCGATGTTATTTTTTATATTTTATTATTTTAAAAAATTATTACCACACTGGAAATGTTGATCGTGCAATTTGATTCTATTGCTCATGATTTATTAAGATAAATCTGTTACGGTTCGGTTTTGTTTTCGCGGTACCGTATATATGGGAGCTACCGACGAGATGTCGAAAACAAGCATGACTCACTCGATCAATGATTAGGCAGCTCTTGAATCCCACGATCGATAGCGGTCGCGCGTTTAGATATTACATTCGAACACCAGCGTGTCATACCGCGATCACGTGAACATATCTTTTGTATGTTTCCGCAACATTTTTAACAATATTCCGAATTTATTTTCTTTACAGAACCTCGACGGAACGGAAGGAGAGGTAGTGGCGACGCAGCATTGGGTGAGTGTTAAAAAAAAAAAGATGTATCACGACACTCTCTCGTAGTGTAAATTAGATTAGCTCTCGTAAATTAAGTTTTTGCTCGTGTTTCTTCGCCGTGAAGTGAGCGAGAAATATTTGGATGAACTCAGGCAATGCATGTGATCGTGATCTTTATGAGCGGCGTTATTGAGGATGATGATTTTACCATCCCGTGGTAGCTGGCACGAAACGTCGACGTTTCGTGACATTTTCCCAAGAGTTTCGAGTCCGTCCATTTGAAATGTTACACCCCTACGAACACGTAGGAACTAAAATTATTTACCGTTTAAAATAAAATTGTTATGCTTTTTTATCAGACGATAATAAAAGTTAACATTATACCAAAGTGAAGGTACACACATATCTCCCAATTTTTTATTATATGATATTCAATAATGTATATATTCCGGAGATTTTAGTTATGAGGATCAAAAATCTTCATATGAAAATATCCAGATTAATTTTATAATTATAAGCGATTAAAATTAGTCAATGGTATTACATCGAATTTACATATTGATGATAACAAATTTTATCCAATTACAATTAAAATTAGTCAATGGTATTACATCGAATTTACATATTGATGATAACAAATTTTATCCAATTTATTACTTATTAATTTTCACACTTTGAGTGATTGATTTTTATTACTCAGTAATTTTGTCTTTTGGTTTTTTATGTGTAAATATATGCATATTGTAATAATTAGTTTATGTTAGTAATTTAACTATTTCTTTTTTTAAATAAAAATTTTAATGATTCGTTAATTACTCACTGAAAAATAATGATTAAATTATCAGTTAATATTCAATTAAAAGAATAAAATATACCTTTGTTCTGTGACTGAAAAATAGAAATATGTAATTTTGTTATTTTTTACTCTCTCTCTCTCTCTCTCTCTCTCTCTCTCATCAGAATTATATAATTTTCTAAATAAATAAAGAAAAAAAAATCGTATATTTTTGCAGCGTTTTAATTCCCTTTTTTAACTTATTAAAGCTTTAATTCTCAATGTGTTAAAAATCATAAAATTTTATTTCAGAAATATTTAGGAAGAACTAACAATAAATTAATAAAAATAAATACCTTTTTGATACAAAAAGGTCAATCTTTAAATAAACATTAGACTCAGCGTGCAATAATTAATTTGAAATGTAAAGACTAAAATAGCATGTTTTTATTTTATAATATATATGTTATATTTCATAAAATGGCTGAATCGGTTGGCACACAGCATTTGTTTTTTGCGATGTATAATTTACTATGTTATGACGCGGTCATCTTGTTTACATTCGCACAGTGAGACTTGAGTCGGCAAACAGCGGTGTGAGCCGCTTCACATACACACATGTGTCGTATTATTATTTCTTGACGCGATCGCGATGAATTATCAAAAGATGCCAAATGCAATCATTTTCTACCAATACCTATCGCTTCTCATTTCAACAATTACCAATTTTAATAGACTTTAAATGTACAAGACATCACGGAATTCGGAACAAAAGTGTGCTGGTAATTTATCGCAATTCCATTGATGTTTCTCGTTAGTTCTAACAGAATTTCACCATCATTTTTAAACAGAGTTCCAGTTGCTACTTTTTCAGTTTTGGTTTTTTAATATAACAAATGCGAAATTTTTTTTATTTTTATAAAGAACTGTAGGACTATGAAAAGAATGCTACAAGAACTATCATTATTTTTTTTATATTAATAGAACGGCGTGCTAACTTCAAAAAATCCAAATTTATGTGAACCTGTGAAGTTAAAACACCGTTTTTTTAAATATAAAGATAATGATGGCAGTTTCAGTAGCATTTTTCATAGTTCTACAGTTCCTTATAAAAATAAAAGAAAAATGTTCTGCATTTTTAATACCATGAAGTCAAAAATAAAGAAATGAAAAGAACTAATCATTGTTTTTTGAAAATTAGTAAGACGCCGTGCTAACTTCACAAACACGGAGGCCCGGACAGACACCGGGTGACGAAGCATCCATGTGAGGTGAATATTTTTAATAACATTATTTATTACTTGTTGTTCATTGATTTTCGTATTTATTGCTTTAAAAAGATGGATGGGTTAAAATAAATTAGAAATTTATTTAATCCTGGATATGAAACAATTTATTATTTATATATGCACACGTATACACATACAAAGCTCAGGCATTAGAATTTATTATTTTGATGCATATGTATCACTTATTTCATTTTGATATCTCATTAGATAGATTACTAACAAGATACAGTAATTTTTATAAGATAAACTCACGAACATTAATAAAAAATGTACAAAATATTTCATCAGTAAATTCGGTAAAATAACAATGATAAAATCATTTTTGTAAAAGAGAAAATGTTCCTATATTTGATAAAAATATTTAGTTTTATAGTCATACGCTGCTTGATGAGTATTATATATACATATTTAAAGTTTTTAGCAAAATTAAAATATTATGAAGATCACATTAAAATAATGATAATAATAACTTTATTGAAGTGTAAAATAACAAGAGAAATACAAGAGAATATGTACATGTACATTATAAAATAGTTACAATAAAATATATTCGTTATTTATACAATTTTAATATCTTTGTAATTGTACAAAATTTTTTTTTACAATTACTTTGGTTTTATTTTTTTGTTTAATGAAAAAATATTTAATAGAAATATAATAAAATTATAAAGAATAAATTATTGAAAATTAGAATATAAAGTTTTTAATATAAATATATTTATGGCGTTATATTTTATAACGGCCGGAGAGAGGATAAAAAAATAGTTTTTATACGTATTAATGTAAAATAAAAAGTAAATCGATATTAACTATGGGGAAAATATTTGTTAATATTTTGATGTTACTTTATTTTCTTCTTTTTTCTTTTTAAAATAATTTTTAAATAGAATTTAAGGTCAGCGTTTGATCTCTTTTCTTTTTTCCAGGATTAAATATTGTTATAAATTGACAACCGAGAAAAAGCAATATTTAGAATTTTTTCAATATATATGTAATTCCAAATTTAAATAAAAATAATAACGAAAAATATTTTATAATTACATGGCATTACCAGTATTGAACATTTCAACTAATTTCTTTAATAAAATCACACTAATGAGAGATTTCTTATATAATATATCTTTTCTTATTTCTGTGTGCCAATCTTTTTCTAAATTTGTATAGCCTCTATTTATCTTAACTTTATTGAAATATTCAAAATAAAGTAAAATGAATTGAATATTTTGTCATGAGAAAAGACTCTGTTAATCAGCTGAGCGACAAAAATCAATATCTCCTAAATTATGAAACTAACAGATGACAGACTAGTACACGTGTACTGCAGTTATAAATATGAATGTGCGAACTCTACGTGATACCATTGATCAAGTTTAATTGCCTATAAATTCAAATCTACGTTTTTATGTTATGATTTGATTATTTATTAGGATTCTAATAAAAAATCTCCAGAATACATTACTGAAGTATTATATGTATTATAACAAATTAGTGATAAGATTAAATTATGTTTTTACACATCTATCGCTTTATACATCTCAAAAAAAGGTTAATAGACTCTCGGGTAAAGAGATAGACATTAGACATTGAAAATCCGATATCTATTATAACCGCGCAATATATAATTATAGAAGCGGCAGTTTATAATTCAATATTTCATTTTGTGCAAACAAGAATCCGCAAAATTAAACAACAATTGAATTATGCTGGCGCGTCAAATTTGTTGTTTTGGTGCCTCAACGAGCCATCATAGTTTGTAAATAGCGTACATACTATATGCGCGTGCAAAGAGAGAAAGAGAAAAAGGAAGAGAACTATTCATCTCAGCCTTTCATAAACAGGTATAATGTATAATATCAGTCGACCGTAAGAAATTTAATATTTGTCGTTTGCATGACTTTCGCTCAAAATGGAGCAAATTGTCTCTCGACGCGATCAAACACGTCGCCAACTGTGTAAATTCTCTCGATGTAACCGATTTATTAATAGATAAATCATATAGAATCGTCAAGGTTCCCTCGTTTTTTTATCGAATGCAAAATTCGATGTTATAATTTCCAAAATTACAAAAGAATAATATTTTTCATATTATATATCTAGATAAGAAGTATTATAATTACCTGATTACTTTCACGAATTTCCAAAGATATTCGTTCTACAATAACCTAAGAATCATTAATCTATGTATGACGATAACAAAAGTAAGGATCACTTCTGTTATAGCAGGAGTGGAAATGGTAATAAAT